GCAAAAGTTTGGAAGGCGAAGTAATAAATTAATATTTTGAAACAAAGTCCCTTACCTGGGCAAACTGTGTTGTGGTTTGTACTGATGGTGCTGCAGCATTAACAGGTTCGAAAAAAGGGCTCAGAGGCTTAATTCAGAAGGTGGCGCCTCATATGGTATTTAATCACTGTATGATTCATCGGAAAGCTCTTGTTGCAAAAGATATGGATGAAGAGTTGCACAACATATTACAAGATGTTGTTAGTTCAATTAACTACATTAAATGCAACAGCCACAACAGCCGTCTGATTTCAATACTTTGCAATGAAATGGGCTCAACGTATGAGAGATTACTGTTACACACCGAAGTCAGATGGCTTTCACGTGGGAAAATACTACGACGGATATTTGATTTGAGAAATGAAGTGTACATGTTTTTAATCGAAAAGAAACATAGATTGGCAAGTTATTATATCAATGAAGATTGGCTAGGAAAGCTGAGCTATTTAGTTGATATTTTCGAAAAACTTAACGATTTAAATTTGAGCTTGCAGGGTGAGAATTCAACTATCATAACTTCAGCCAGTAAAATTCAAGCTTTTAAGAATAAGCTTAGTCTCTGGCAAACGGAACTGAATACAAACAACACCGACATGTTCCCTTGCTTTAACGATTTTATCAAGGAAAATAATATAGATATATTTACATTTAAAAACATCATTTCCAATAACATTGAAAAGTTAAATGAAAATTTTTCGAGGATTTTCCTGAAAACGATCTTGGTTGGATTCGTGATCCATTTTCCTTTAACATATGCAGTTCAACTCTTCAAATTAGTGAGAAAGAGCAATTGATAGATCTAATTAGTGATTATACTCTTCGAAATCAATTTAAGACTCAGCCTTGCCAAAAATTTTGGCTATCCGTGGAAAAACAATATCCCGTTTTATGCAAGAATGCCATCAGAGTGTTAATACAATTTGCATCAACGTATTTATGTGAAACTGGATTTAGCAAACTAGTTTCAATAAAAACTAAATACCGCTCGCGTTTTAACCCTGAAGATGATATGCGAATTGCAATTAGCAACATACAACCAAACATCGATGAGATAATTAGAAACTTGCAGCCACGTACATCTCATTAAAGGGCAATTTACTGATTTTTGTGTTATACAAAAAGTATTTTCTTAAAATTATAAATAAAATTAATATGAGTCAGATATGATGATGTTTATATTCGATGAAACGAAAGAAATGCGCAAAATATACATCGTATTTGTGAACATTTATCTCTAGGGGTCGCCAAAAATTTTCTCTCTACAAAAGGGGACGCAGTCGAAAAATGTTTGCGCACCACCGGACTAGATGATTTATGCTGCGTTTACGTCATCTTTCGATTATATTTTATTTTGTTTCCTTTGAGTGCTCTTAATATTCAATAAATGTTTTATCCTATATAATAAAATATCATATTTGTTGATTTATCTTTCTGTATTTGTTGATATAGCTTTCTATGAACATTTTGAGCAAATGGTTATAGTGTACTTTAAAAAAAACTATTGTTTTCCTTTAATGAATGTCTTGAAACATATTTCTTAAAATGAAAGAAAATAATTATGAACAAAATAGAATGACTATTTAACTAAGGTAAAAGAATGTTATGTATTGCTTAATGTTTTGTTAAGATTAAAATTTAGAAGAGTTCAGTTTAAATAAAAGCTTATGATAAGACATTTATGCATGTTTTCTTAAGTAGTAAACAAATATTTGAGCAAACTATTATATGCCATTTTCTGGATACAAGTTGAATTTGTAAGGGTATTTTATGATATTTATTTCAGATATGATAAATTTGCTAACATTGTTTACATTTATAAATACTGTTTAATAGTGGTATATACATTTTACTTACAGGCATTATTATTAATTTGAAAATACTGTAAGTGTAAATATATTGTATTGTGAATAACACCAGAATAACAACAAATTCAACTTCATCTTTTCCCCTCCTCCCGACTTTTCATATAATTATGGGTTACCATGCCAAAGCATGAAAAGAGAATTTTAAAGCTCTCGCTACAGAACTGTGTTTCACAGTACGTCAAATTTGACACTTATGATGAAGATTTTAATCTAGAATCTTCTAGAAACTTTAATCGAAACTAGACAACAAAAAGAACATGAAAGCAACAATTCTAGAGACACGCTAAGATAAGAACAAGGACTTTTGTTAGAACTGGAACATTTAAAATTAAATCTGGCAGCTTCTAGCTCAAATCCTAACTATGCCGCTCTTGCTTCAAATGCAGTGTTGAAACGAATATTCAACACATAACCCTAAATTTATATGAGCTTCTGATATTGCAACCTGCCTGCAAATTCTTGAAAGACAATGTAAAAGAGGTAACATAAAACTCATGACTCCTCTCCTACCTCTTCTATCTATAGACATTTCACAAATTATTTTAAGAGAATTAAAAAGACAAATTAGAAGATCATTCACACATCAGGAAAATTCTGATCTAATGATTCAGATTAAATGCTAATCATTTCGAATTAAACTTACCATACACCAAAGACAGCCTGGGGCCTTATGGAAAGACTGCTTATGAATTAAGCAATTATCTGAAAGAGTGGCTACATAGCCTCGATGTTACAGATTTTGAATCATTCAAAGACTTAGTCCTGATCGATCAGCTTAAAAGAAGAGTCGTAGTGATGTTAAGGGACATTTCATTGATACATTGGGGAGGGGGGGGGGAGTTCATCTGAATTAGTACTGAAATTAGATGATTATGGAGCTGTACGTGTTAAAAATATGAACAACAAAACTTCAGCTCCCAAGCAGAACTATTCTTTCAAACCGACTAATCCATCCAAGCTCCAAATAGAAAATTGGACAAAAGTGACATACAGAGAACTCATAAAATCTTTTCAAATCATGGTTAGTGGCAAACTGACGAAAACCAACCTTTCTTTAACATGCTATGGGTACAGAAAAACTGGTTTTAGTCTTAAATGTCCAGACTGTAACCCCCAAAGACTTGTAAATTCATGAAATTTTGGCCTGATCCAAATCCGATCCTGTTTATCTTCCACTTGGACTGCTGTATTTCAAATTAGTATTGGAGGTGTTTCCAGTGCAGCTTTCACCAACAGTGTTGCTAGTTACTCAATCACAAGTGAATCCCTCTTTCATATTCTGCAGACATAAGATGCAGTATTTCAAAAGACAACACTACAGATGCCTTCCGTTGATGGTTTGGTTACTGAAAAAGAGGCACTTCACACTGAACAAATTATTCTTTTTGATGGCAGAGAGTTCAAAACTCCATTCCTTGTGCTGCCTAATGCCAAAAATAACTCTACTTTGTTAGGAATTGACTTTCTTCAAAAAGCTAAAATTGTTTTAAATCTTGCTGAAAATAAGCGGGACTTTTCTAATGAACCTCGAAGAAAATATAGCTTCGTGAAACCCCAGCAATCCCAAGCACTGAAAGAAACCTCAGCTATTGTAAACAATTGCCAACTACAGGAAAATGAAGGACAACAATGAACTACATCCCAACGACTTGCAACTGATGCATTGCTTAACAAATATCACATTGCTTTCAAAGTAGGGGAAGAAGCCACTCCATTTATTGAACATCATATTAACACAAGAAACAGCCCTCCCTGTTTCAGTCCCTCCATATCAGATGAGCCGAAGTAAGAAAGAACTGCTGAAAAAGGAACTTGATTTTCTTCTAAGACAAGGTATCATAAAAGAATGGGAAAGCCTCTATGCCTCTCCTGTGATTTTGATTCCCAAGACGGATGAAGAAATGCAGTTATGCACTGATTACCATAAATTAAATGTTCAGACTATTCCAGACACTTATTCTTTGCCATGCGTAGATGATTTGTTGAATGAAGTAAAACCCACACCTTACATGTCAACTATTGACTTGAAGTCAGGTTATCATCAGGTGAGAGTAGCTGAAGATCAAAATAAGACTGCTTTTGTTTGCCCTTTTGGTACATAAAAATTTACCTGAAAGGTCTTCGGCTTGAGAAATGCTCCTGTCACCTTTTCTAGATTGATAGATAAGTTCCATTCTGGACTGAATGATGTGTTTGTCATATTTAGATGATATCATCATGCTGCCCTCTACCTTCAAAAGCATCTTTCTGGCTTAGAACAAGTTTTCCAACGTCCATCATTATTCAAGCTCAATGCCAACTAAGAGAAGTGTCACTTCTCTTAGTTGAAGTCACTTCTCTTAGTGAAAAAGGTGAAATATAGGCATTACATTACCAAGGATGGTATATAGTTGTTGATCCACACAAGACTGCTGCCATTGCAGATATGCCAGAGCCAAAAACTATTAAGCAAGCACAATCGTTTGTACAAACTTGTTCCTGGTATCGTCGATATATTCCTAAATTTTTCTCAAATAGCCAAAGTGTTAACGGATTTAATGAAGAAGAAAGAACTGTGGAAGTGAGAAGTACAACAAGAAAATGCTCTCCAAGAGCTGAAATCAAAATTAATCATCCCACTGATTCTTAAGCAAGCTGATAGAATGAAGCCTTTTATCATTCGGACAGATGCTAGCAATGTAGCCATTGGAGCAGTGTTGCTACAAGGGGAGAAAAATGAAGAACACCATATAGAATATGCCAGAATATGGCTCGATGCTACAGACTTCAACAATTAATTACATAATCTAATCAACAATTTTGTTTAATCAAACACAAGTACTTACATAAATAAATTACAGTTCACATATGTTTACTACATGCTTATAAGATCATATAAGCTTAATTGTATATGTGTATAATCATATTTGCTATGTCATATAAGAATAAAAATTAAAATTCCACTAGTGTGACACTTTAATTTTACAGGTTAAATACATTTTGCACAGGAAACTAAAAAATTTAGTTTCCTTGAAGTGTTGTTGAAGTGTTCCTTGAAGTGAGTTTAAAGTTAGTCAATTAATAATTATCTAATCTGTAATTATCAATGATACAAAATTAATAAATAAATAAATACAAATCTTTATTTTGTCTTCCAAGTACACTTACAACATAAATGCTGTTCTTAAATCAAATTTTGTCAGGATGAACACATTCAAATATATTTTTTATCTAATATTTCACAAAAAAACTTTTTTGCTTTTATTATAAATTGGAATTATATGCAAATCACCAAAGTCATGTTCCAAAAATTTCATTTTTAAACAATAAATAAAGCAATAGTTATAACTTAATACATTTTTACATTACACTACAGTTTTTTAATCTGGTTAAATATACTTTGTTGTTATGGAATGGATGAGCTGATTCAAACAAATTTTAAAATTTATTTACCCCACTAGGAGGTACTAGTACCTCTAAAATTTATTAACAAGATAAAAACATAATATAAATGATGTGAAACATCAAGATTTCTGACCAAAATTTTGAAAACAAACAAAACCTCATTAAAAAATAATAATAATTAGCAAATTAGTTACTTATTTTCAATAATTAACGTTTTTCTTATTCAATAAGTACTATACAGTTTAAATAAAATCTTACATCCCAGCAGTTTATCTCATCCAGGCGTTCTCAATCGGGGGGGAATGCGGTCAGCCTTCTAGTTACCTACTAAGTTTTAATTTATGAATACAAAACATTACTTTTATTCAAGTTTATGTATTTGCCAACATTTTCTATACTTGTTTAATTTATAAAATACATTAAAAATAATCCAAATTTAAATAAGTGGATATGCATTTTTAAAATTTTGGAAACGAGTAGGAGGCATGACAACTTAGCAACGGTGAAAGGTGTGCATGGAGCAAAAAAGATTGAGAACCCCTGATCTAGCCAGTATGCAAAAATTATTTATAGGTAGATCAAAAAGTAATTTACAGAATATAATTCAAAAAAAGAAAGGAAAGGAAAAAGGGGGGGGAATCCACACACCAAGCAATTTATGTTTTTCCATATATGTGACTGTATTTCAAAATTTAAAAATGATTTTAATTTCAATGCTTAGTCATTTTTTCCATACCTTTATTTACCTAATTATAAATGCATTTGTTATGAAAGTGAATTTTATATAGGCATAATACAAATAATAACATCAGAAAAGCTTTTCATACATCTAGTGCCCTGCAGTACACTTCAATACACAAAAAAGTGACAGGAAATATAGCTAGACAGTTTGTCCACTCAAAAATAGTATCTCTCACACATATTAATATAAAATGGTACAAAACTACTTCACTAATAATAATCCCACATGAACATTTTACATTACATAGTAAAAATAATAAATACTCTTGAAACACAGAAAACATATATTTTTCAATAATACATCATCAAAAAATAAATTGTTTCAATACCCTTTTAAATGCAGCACGAGTAGAAAAATATCCATTCTGTTAAGGATTAAAAATAAAAAATCTATTTATTAAAAATAAGAGGGAAAGGATATTGCTATATTCCATTTATCTTAACTTATCGTGGTTAGAGACATTCTTAATACTTAAAAATTTAAAGATAGCAATTTGAATATTTAAGTTGCAGTTAAAGTTCTAAGATTAAAGATAGCCAAACGAATTAATTGTTGCCTTGAATTGAAATTTTTCATATTCTCAACTGATTAGTTTTGAATAACGAATTTACACATAATTTTTTTTCTTCTTTCCTTGTATCTTGAAAATTTCAATTAATTACACTAAAACTAATCCAAATTTTCATAAAAATCAACATGTTAAAATTAATTTGTAATAAAAATGTAATAAACATTTATGGTTATAATAAAAAAAAAAGATGAAATTATCAACATCTTTGTGACATACATATAAAATACCTTTTTATAAACTAGGTGATATGTGACACATGATAAAAAAATGAAATAAAAAATAACGTTTCAAGAAGTGGAAATGCAATGAGACATTGTGGCAGAATCAACTGTTTTCAATCACTGACACATACATTTTCTCAGGATTTATTAATATAAAGAGAATCAGAGCAATGAAAACTTCGCAAATTATAAAAATATTGCTATACTTTAACTGGCATACATGGACTCTTAGTAATGCCCTCATATTCCAGACAAGCAGAAATTCTCTCACAACCTGATTGGTGTAAAATGCATCTCCCATTTGCTATTTTAGAAGATATTTTATCTGACACTTTTACCTTTGATAATAGTTTTTATCATTAGGGCATAATACACTGAAATTCTCAAACAAATTTGACCTGCTTAATTGATTTTGTTGATGAAATTTTTTGCTGCTTATAATTTTTGAACCAGAAAATTTTGAAAAATCTTTATGTTCGATGCCACTGAAATCTTTATTATTATGCAGCTTATTTAATGATAATGTATGGTGGGCTTCTCGACTTGAATCTATTTTAGTTTAGCTTAAATATTCTATCAAAGTTTTGTAAGCATCACAACGATACTTTAACTTTGCTGACTGCCAATGTTTCACTTTTTTCTCTTTTTTAATTTTCTTCAATTCTTTTGATGAAATTGTAGCTTTTGTCGCAGCCTTATTATTTTGAACCATAGTATGTGAAGTATATTTATGATATAATGAATTCTGATTTGTACCTCCTATTGTTTTATGTTTCTTGATATCATTAAGTGAAGTCGAAAGGCTAGAAATAAATGAGTCACACTGAACACACTGCACATTTTGGCAAGTGGCATGTACATTGGAAATTGTAAAAAGCTTAAAATCTTTTATATGTACACATGGTGCTAGAAATTTCTTTCTTTCATTTGCCAACTGACTACTTTTGCCAAAAATAGTATGCTTTTCCTGATGTACAGGGTTAGGAATGCTACCAAAATTCGAAATACCATTAGAAAGAGACTTTTGACTAATTTCAGAAGAAAGTGATTTTATAGTTGAACATTTTTGTTTTGAGATAGTCATATCATCCACTTTCTCAAACACACTAAATTTTTGCAATTCTAATGATTTTGTTACAGCTTTATTATTTTGAACCATAGAATGTGAAGTATTTTTATGATATAATGAATTCTGATTTGTACCTCTTATTGTTTTATGTTTCTTGATATCTTTAAGCGAAGTCGAAAGGCTAGAAATAAATGAGTTACACTGAACACACTGCATGTTTCGGCAAGTGGCATGCACATTGGAAATTGTAGAAAGCTTGAAATCTTTTATATGTACACATGGTGTTAGAAATTTCTTTCTTTCGCTTGCCAACTGACTACTTTTGCCAAAAATAGTATGCTTTTCCTGATGTACAAGGTTAGGAATGCTACCAAGATGCGAAATACCATTAGAAAGTGACTTCTGGCTAATTTCAGAAAAAAGTGATTTTATAGTTGAACATTTTTGTTTTGAGATAGTCATATCATCCACTTTCTCAAACACACTAAATTTTTGCAATTCTAATGATTTCAGTTTGTTACTCAAATGGGAAGAGTCACTATTTTCAAAATCTTTGGTCTTTTCAAATGGTATCTTTGGTTTAGTTACTGCAACTTTCTCCAAGTTAATTTCTTTTTGTGTTGATGTGAATGGGGGCAAAAAATTATGTAGGTCAACTTTCTCCACAATTACCTATAAAATACACAGATTACAAATTAATTTGAAATACGTACACTACATAAAATAAAGCTACAATATTAACTTACAAAATACATCTATACTTTTATTCATAAGATATATTCATTTTTAAAGTTCTTTGTACAATTAAAATCTCTAAATTACACCGTGAGTCACCGTTCCTTCGTATATGTAAAAAACTACTTCTATATAATAATAGATTTATTTTATAAGAAGGAATACAGAAACAGGAAAATACACAGATACAGAAAATAGCAATACAAAAATCCATCATTTTAATTACAAGGTTAGCCAAAATTTACTAATTGCAATTAAAAAAGGAATTAATCCATAAAAAATTTTTTTTATACAAAGCTTTATTTATGTATTTTATTAAATATAATATTTCATGTTTTACTTGAGTTTGTTAAACAGAAATTAACCATATTTTATCTTTTAACCAATAAAAATATTTTTGAACAACTAAGACATTTTACAGAAACATTTTTTACATTCCCTCATAGCAGAGATTATCTTCAGAATGTTCTATTTAAGTAGCAACATCCTGGAACATACTTAAAATATCCTGAGTATACTGACTCTCATATGTCCTGAGGACATCATTAATTTAACATCCTAAGGATGTCTTGTTTAAATCGATGTGTCCGGGGATATGTGAAGATGTTGATTCTCAAATGTGTTGAGGACTTTTCAATTTCACATCTGCCTTGCTATCTAAGTTTTATTAAAAGTGAGAAATAGTACAAAAGCATATATTTTTTGGCTTGCTTGTTTATTTAAAGAATTGTACTAGTTTTATTTATGTTGTTTATTTTCATTGAATGTACAACTGCTTACATTTGTTTTCTGATACTTGTGTTTTTGAAATTTGGAAAGAAAATCTAAATTAGAACAGAATTTTTTCACATATATTATTATTTATTTTTCCCCCCAAACTAATTACTGGAGAGAAAAATTTTTCTTAAAATTCAGAACATTTTAAAAAAACACCTTTTTTCCCCCAGGAAGTGCTGGAAATAACCCATTAACCAATCATGCAACTTTTAATGCACAAATGTCTGTGAGAGTGTTCTCTTTTAAAAATCTAGAAAGAGAAATATTATCAAGATATGACTGTTAACTGAACTTAAACGTCCCCCCGCCCCCACTGATACAGTAACATATGAATTTTTTTAATTATTAGTGTAACAAAAGAAGATGTACAGAAATTAACAAAAAAGTGCATAAACACTGCTAAACAGAAAACAGTACAATACTGTACATTACCTTCCTGACTCAGTTATGCACAATTTGTAATATAAGTAGACATGTATTACCTAATAACTTAGTTTAATTGAAAATTATTTCTGTTTCAAACAGTTATGCATCACTGCAAGAAGAAAAGCAAAGAAAAAAATCCACTCATTTGTTCTATTTAGACTGACAAGAATGATGACAAGTTCATTTTAAAATTACTAGAAGGTATACAAATGAATTTGAAAGTACATAAATGAAGAGTGTTAAGTGTCTGAACACATAAAACACACAACTGATATTTAACAAAGTTGGCAAATAACAGAAAATTTAGTATTTGATTTCTTAAATTAAATTATATTTCATATAGATTTGGGCATAAATTGGACAAACGTTTTCTTGTAGTAACAGTCTGTTGCATTTCATCCCCTCATCTTTTTCACTTTGGCTTTTCAAAACATATTACATTTGCTTTTTTCTGTTTTCTAGTTAATTCTTTACATTCTTACATTAATACACAGGCTTCAAGTCTAGAGAATATTGAGAAATTTTGATAACTTTAAGGCAATTGTACTTTAAATCAAATTTGAAGATTTAAAACTCTATATTTAGAATCATTTTCTTTGTAGAAATTGGATGCTTTTGCTTTCAAGCTTTTTTGCATAGGATTTTTAAAATTTTCAGTCCAAATCACATTTTTATGCTGATCCATAGTGTTTTCTAAGAAAACTTAATATCTCATACTAAAGGCAGTAAAATCTTCCATAACAATTAACCTTTGTTTTTAATGGTAACAGGTTTTGGGGAGATTCTTTTCATAGGGCTTTCAACACATAATAATTTATCTTTATCGTATCTAAATACATTAAAATACTATTCTTCTATAAATAATATCTTATGCCAATATGATAAAATACTTGATCATCATGGATTTTGATTATGCCAGATGCAACTCTCTTATTTTCTTATTTATGAAGAATAATCTTCCTGCTAGTTGGCCATTGTATCCATTTCCAATAAATCTGACAGCTTCAGGATCAACTTTCATTATAAACTGTTCTAATTCAGATAAAGGTTTTATAGCATTAAGCTTGGATTTTGCTTAATTTTCCGCATAAACATTATAAGGTATTTTCTCTCTCCTTGCAGCATGTGTTTCTGGTGTAACGGTAGCACACTCAATATGCATTCAAGAGGTCCAGTTTTAGAGTCCTGGCGAGGGCTTTGCTCATTTTTCACATCTCCCTGCTTCAAAACAACCTTATGACTCTACAACCTCCAATTTCTTTGTGTTTGAGCAATTTCAGCTTAAAAGCTTCTCAGAAAGTTGTTAATATTTTTAACATGAAGTGGTGTAGAATTAAAATTTCTAATAGAGCAAGCATGGCCTGGAAACTCAGAACAAAACTTGTTACTTAAGAGCCACACTTTCCCTCTAGTTGTTTTGACCACAGATGGTAGTTATGTTTCATGTAAAGTGCATTTAATATATAATATTTTATAGAATAACTTTATAATTCCATACTTTTCATTCAAAGCTATATAAACAACAAATACCAAAAACAAATAATATTTTGTTTTTCTGGTTTCAGTTTAGTAAGCATTCCATGAAACGTTGGGGGGGGGTGTGAAGCACCACAGTATTAATAATATCTATCAATTGATATTTTTTTTAAATCTAGTCTGTACATTATATTTCAAAATATTATGTACGATCAGATTGCTCAATATTTTATTGAAATGTTAAATTTATATCAGATAATTTCATTAATTACATAAAATTAAGAGATTGCGCAGTTTTGTCAAGAATCTGCATAGTTGAAATAGTATCTTGATCTAGTTTACAAGTCAGTTTTAAAACATGGAGTATCACAGGTCTTTTTTAATTTTTTTTTTAATTGGAATGTGTGTGTGTGTTGAAAATTTAATGAAATATCAACTAATTACATATTGTTTAAAGAAATGACTTGTGACTGAAGACAAAATATGGTCATTAAGTAAAATGCTTGAGACTACTATTAAACTATGAAGACCATACGACTGCTGTGAAGTCACACTGCAAGAGTTGTATGACTGTTAGAAGAACCTATTTCCCAATTAGGCTTCTTTTCTGTGTGGATGAAAATTACACATCATCATGCATGTGTACCATGACTGCTGTAAAGTATACATTTTGTATTTTGTCACTGGAGATAATCAGCCAAGTGTGAAACCTGTCTTAATTTTGGAAACCAGTGTATAAATACAATAAAACTGAAAGTGAATGAAAAACTGAAGAAAGCAATACAAAAATAACAACTCAGCAGCATACAGAAACATATAACAAATAAGAGAAACAAAATAACAGCATACAAAAATAACTTTGATCTTGATTAAAATGATGAATAAGAATGTTAGTAAATTAAACTACTTGAGATTTTAATATTGCAGCAAACACAGTAATGGAAATCAACACTAAAATATGAAGGAAATGAAGAAAAAAAAAAAATTAAACTGGATAATGAAAAAGTGAACAGTAAATATGAAAAGAAAACTTTTTGATAATAGAAATTCTCTACCATTGCTGTCTTGTTGGGGTATGACAATGACTGGCATACAATTAATCATTCTAACTGTATAGCCCGATATAAATATACAAGGTGTACCATAAATGTTGCGACAAACTTCTAGGGGAGATAGGGCACATCATAAGGATTAAGAATTGCATAGGAACCCATGCCCAGAACGTCACTGTACCCTGTCAGGAGGTGCTAATTGACGAAGCACACACACGCAAAGTTAGTTGCTTATACAAAGAGCATGAAACGCTCTATGAACGGAGAGCTCGCAAACATGCACTTAATGTGTATGGAACAGCTGAAGGTAATGGATGAGCCACTGTACGCATTTATCGAGAATGCTTCCCTGACAAACATCAACCACACCACAATTTGTCGAATGGTGGCAAAAACCAACATCCAACATCTTTCGATTGTTGGTTGGTGACAACAACCAAGAATCGAAAGATTGGGCGTGGTGAAGCGGTTCCCTGGCCCTCACACTCACCGGATTCATCGAGCCTTGGTTTCTTTTTGTGGGCAGTCATCAAAAGTGTCATGGCAAGACACGCCTGCGCAGCTGCTACAATCAAACTCTTAGTATGTTTGAACATGTTCGGCAATCAATGGTCCGTCGGTGTCAGGCATGTTTGGCATCTGATGGTGCAAACTTCGAGCATCTGTTGTAACATTCAAGTTGTCGAAACACCGTTTGTAATTCGTGTCCAATAAATGTTTAAAATTAATCACTCTCTCTTACTTGCTTTTCCAAATTTCTACCTTTACTACCACTTACCCCTGACATTTCCGGGTATAGGTTCCTATGCAATTTTTAATCCTTATGATGTGTACTACTTTCCATAGAAGTTTGTCACATTTACAGTACATCCCATATAAGCACACTTGAACAGACAGATGAAAAAAATGCTAGGTAACTTCAATAACAAATTCACTTTCTTAACAAAAACAGATTAAAAATACATGGCATTTTTGTTTAAATATTACATGTAGTGGAGAGAAAGCCAGCAGGATACAAGCATTCATATATTATATGGTTAAGTTTCCATACACCTTAAAAATGACAAAAAATGCAGCATCTCGTAAAACAAATATAGTTGGGGAAGCTTACTGCAATATAATGAAAATAAAATAGAATTTATTTAGAATTATTGTATCAAACAAAGAATTTTTTTTTTAAAATAGTCCTGTAACTATTGAGACATCACTTAATTTTCTTAAAAAGACTAATAATGTGTTTTGTCAGGATTAGAACCTTATTCAGTAAGTGAACAATTTTAATGATCACCATAATATTAGAATGAATGAAGTCAGCTGTTGCATCATTAAAATGAATTAAGATCAGAAATAACTTAACCAAAAACTATTTCATATATGTGAAATGTACATGAATATAAAGTACAATATAATTGGTTAACCATAGAAGATAATCTGTTATTACTACTGGTATAATTGAAATCATAGAAGAACTTATAAGTTATGAAATACATACTATTCCAAGTGATGCTGAACCATTTTAAAACTACCACCATTTGGATTTGAGCAATAATACCAAATAAGAAAGTTATTACATTAAACAAATACCTTTGCTTCTCCAAAATTATTCTTTTTAAATTCCATTTTTAATTCTTCAGGTTTTATATGGTTGCCATCTAAAACTGCATTATCACTACACTGTTCTTTTCTTTCCTTTTCACTACCTAACCATGAAGAAATATTTAAAAAAACAGAATACATCAAAGTTAATAAAAGTATTTTATATGTATTAAAATGCATATTTAATAAAAACTAAAATGTACTAGCCTTCTAGCATTATAGCAGTACAGAACATACAGGATTATCAAGAAAGAATCATTGGATTACAGTTTAATATTTTCCATATTTACAAACAGAAAATTATAAATTAATATGTCATTGTAAAAGAAAAATGTTAAATTTTTAGTTTGTAACATTGTCTTTTCTCAATAAGTGACAAATGGCATCTAAGCATGAGAAGGCTTTTTTTTTTTTTTTTTTTGTGCGCTCTCCTTTGCAAGAAATCAGTCACTAATCACTGTCCAGCGTAAATTAAGAGAAAGTATCACAAAAATGAAGCACTGACATCTCAGACTCTTTAAAGATGGTACAACCAGTTCCAGGAAACTGGATGCCTGTGTAAAAGCAAAACTCCAGGGCAACCAAGTGATTCAGCAGATAATGTTGAAAGAATCCGAGAGACTTTTCTATGCAGTTCAAAGAAATCGACAGTTCATTCTAGTCGTGAAGTGGGGATACCTCTACCTCATACATTTAGACTGTGTTGAAAAAAACATTGCATTTTAAGCCTTACAAATTGCAAAACATGCAAGCATAGCTGATTTTTTCTTTTGTCTCATACTTCCTCAGCCTAGAGGTTTTAGTAAATAATAGGTAGGTCAAATGGCATAGGCTAAAATGGGAAATAAAATCATAATCAGCACGATTCATAACAGAAGCTGTTGCCACCACTGCTGCTTACCTAGATAGGGATCTGCTGATCAGAACAAACATGAGAGCCTGATGTATGTATGGTTTGCAAGGTTTGAAAGTTAGTTGACGCAGATAGTGCCATAGCTTCATGTAGAGCTTCTGAGGTTGTAATGCAGTTAATAAAGCTTAAGGTACACCAGGGGGAGGGGAGAAAGGAAAAGAAGAGGAGACAATTTTATATCTCCCGTTCTATTGGGCCTATTGGCGAAATTCAAACTGCGTTTTTCGTGTCTTCAAAGCGCGATTTAGGATATATATTAGATTTATATATATCTTTGTTGTAACATAGGTATTTGATGTAAAATCGGACTTCTTCTGAAATAACATACAAATTCTTTTCCGTATTTCGATTCTATGACTCAAATTATGCCTCGATATTAAATTTTATAATTTTTGGTGAGAAATTTACAGAGAAATTAAAAAATTTATCTTAGTGAATTTTTTCAGTTTGTGCCAAGAATTCACTTGGCGGACTTCTTAATTAAGAGCAACCTATTTTCCTTTCCTTTTTCTTCATTGTCCATGAACGGAGAAAAAGTTATCGTTCATACTTTCAAATAATGTTAACAAAGTACATAAACCACATTTTTGTTACTATTGCTTATAATAAATATGCCAAATTTCAAAATGCACCAAATGTAACTTCACATATATCTTCAGAAACTTTGAATTAAAAAAATTCTAATTTTCTGCAGATATGCTTAGAAATACAGCTAAAATGATGGCAAAAAATATCGTAGGTTATAATTCAAAATTATTTTTGGAAAATTTATCAAAATTATTTAAAAATACAAATTTAAAAAATAAATCATAAAAAATAGGCGACTTTTATTTGGAATGAACCTAAATTTTGAAATATGAAAGGAAGAATCAAATAAGTTTAATAAAAAAAGAGATATTAATAAATATGAGGGCTGTTCAGAAAGTATCAAGACTGAATTTATTCTATTTATTCCAGAAAACCTCTAGCGGTTGGACTGTGTGCAATCATGCACGCACATGTTTCACCTTGTTTCACAAAAACCAGCAGGAGCGTTTGCATGCATTCGCCGAAAACAGAAAATGTCTGAAAACACGAAGCAGCGATCTGTATCAGTTTTTGCTTTAAGCTCAGTAAAACGGGCACCGAAACCTATGAGATGATGAAAACAGCATTGGGCGATGAGTCATGCTCGAATTTTCAAGTGGTTCCAGCGATTCAAGGAGGGTTGGAAATCAGTGGACAGTGATCCCCATTCTGGACGCCCATTCACCTCTCGCAATGAGGGACAGATTGCACAAGTGCAGGCTGTGGTGCGCTCTGATAACTGTACATATTTTTGAAGAATAATTTTCTTTCTCTTTATATACTCAGTTTCTTTCTTCAATACATCTCCTCTTCGTTTTAGAAATGTTGGATTTAATTAGATTTCTGTTATCTAAAAAATTCTTCAAAATGTAAAATGAAGAGGAAATGTATTCTTCAAAACATTTCCTCTTCATTTTAGAATTGTTGGATTTAATTAAAGCTTTCCGTTATCCTAAAAACTAAATGCACAAAAAATGCTGCTAATTTTATTTGTTTAGTAATATGAACTTTCAGAATAAATATGAAATGATACATGGTAAGGCCCAGTTATTTAGGCAATGTGGCCGAATTTTTAGAATTTAGTGACTCACCGAGCAAAAAAATCTAGAAATAGCAAAACTTTTAGAATTTAGGACAGGCAATGGGAACAAAATATAGGAAGGCACTAAGTAGCAGAACTATAGTATCCACTGAGAATTTCATCAGGTGGGAAAATGCCTAGTGCCAGCCCTGTATATGATGAGTTGAGACATCCACGATGAATCTTTTAAATTGTCAGTTTTCAATTTCTTAATAAACAGAAAATTCCTTTCTATAAATGTCTGTCCATGTGCTAAGATTACAAGCATTTTTGATATTTTCCACACATTTGTCTAGTGAAAAGTAGAAAAAATAGAGGAAAGAAAAACATGTTACATATTTAAAGACTTTTAGTGTCAGAAGTAAAACATTCAAATATTATGTTTCCATTGTTCTACCAAAAAATTTTCCAAAAAATAAGAAATTCACCACACACCTTCTGTAAAATACACCCATCACATGTTAATACCATGAAGACAATTTTAATAATATTTTTAATTAATTACTATTTTGCTTTTACTCAGAATTATTTCATAAACTGTGCTTTATTACCTTCTTTAGTTTTCCTATTAAAATATTACACAATAAGTCGATAAATGGAAAAGTAATATCACTTAATAATATTGCAGCAAAAAATAAAAATGTTTCATTTTAATGCTATTTCTAAATATAATTTCAATGTTTAAAAAAAAAAAAAAAAAAAAAAAACTTAGATTTCCGAAAAACATTTTTCTATAGAAACTGATTTTAAAATTGCCAAATTTAGAATAGTTTAATAAAAGAATTCACCTCACCAAAAGTGAAGAGTTGTTTACCAGTTCTTCACTAGAAACAAATGAAATAAATTCGAAATGCTTATGTTTCACTTGTAGCCCAGAGTCTCGAGTATCCCAACGTTTGTATTAGAAAGATGGGAACAAAGTATAACCCATCTACTCATTTAAAAAGACAACCATATTTATCAGTGAATTGCCAAAAATATTCCTCCAAAATGCTAATTCACACTTAAATGGCAGTTGTAAAAACAGGCAGAAATTTCAAATGATTAAAATTAAGGACTTTTAAGGACCAAAATTCGATTCCAAAAAAACTAAGGACTTTTAAGGACTCTTAAGGACTGTACAAACCTTGTAGTGATGAGTTGGAATGTCTAAACTACAGTATTTGACGGCATATAAGACACACTGGCATATAAGACGCACCCTTATTTAAAAGGCCACACAAAAGGAAAAAAAGTTTCAATAGTCCGCGTGACAGCGAGGTACCACAATAACTTAAAATGTGGTTTCTTTTAGTTCTCACGTTGTACAGTCATTAGGTTAATTGGAAGCAGAAAAGATGAAAAATATGCAGCCGCCTTCACCGGGAATCGAACCACGGACCTCTGGAATACCGGCCCAGCGTGCTGAACCACTACACCACGAAGGCACGCTAGAGGAGTGGGAGAAATACCTAATAAACAATCATTGAATGCAATTACCAAATGTATTTTTATTAAGGAAAATTAACAAACGGCAAGCTATTTTGAACATGATATGTAAATTTCAATAATGAATAAATGAATGAATGGCAAGCAATCAAACATAATACAAAATAAAGCAGAAAAACAAAAAAACACAGATTCAGGAAAACGTTGCCTATCATGAAATTAGACTTTAATCACTTTCATAACCATAAAAATCCTTTTCACTATCATCATCATCGAAAACAATGAATATCGTCATCACTACTGTTTTCGTCATCACTAGTATCACCTTCTTTGAATAATGCGTCGTCGTTCTGTTCAGTCAAGGGCATTACTGATTTCGCATTTCTTAAAGGACTTAACAATTATTTCAGCCTTTACGTCCTCCCAAGATCTTTTTATTCACTCACACACTTGTGAAATAGAAGGCCGCTTCATTCTACCTTAGAGGATGTGAGGGCGTGATGGGCTTCTCCTATCCACTTGTTCCATCATTCTCACACTTTTTCCTTAAATGGCTTATTCACCGATACATCTAAAGGCTGCAATTGGCTAGTCAGTCCACCAGGAATGACAGCTATCTGGGTTTTTAATTCTCTCGCTTTATTCTTTATGATTTCAGTTCTATGGGCGCTAAACTGATCCAAAACCAAAAGAGAGGGTTTTCTTAAGAGTCCACCAGGTCGCCTCGCCCATACGTTCTGTAACCACAGTTTCATTCCAGCTTTGTCCATCCAGCCTTTCAGATGAACATGAACACCCACTGGTGTTCATGTTTTCACACCCGTTGGAAGTTTTTCTTTTGAATATGAAAAACGGAGGTAGTTTTGTGCCGTATATCGGGTTTTTTTCATGACCTATGGTTTTTATGGTTATTCATTTAGACCCTTTAACACTCAAGTCTTGTTGGATGGTACATAAAATGTGAGTGGAATTTCATCCATATTTCCTATTTGACCAAGCTCAAAAGAAGTTTTCTTGTGTGCATTCAAAACAAACTCATGAAATGCTAGTATTTTTTCTTTATTATCTGATGGCATTTTCTATGCAATAGTTATTTTTGTGCGCACTGAGAAGCC